TGTTTATAACAGTTAACATCTCAAGGATGTGTCTTTAAATAGAAAAAAAAATTTGAAGTAAAAAAAAAACAGCTGAAATTGAGGCACACCAGATATCACACAATACTATGAATTTAGTGTAGTAGTTGATGTCAGAGGTGGCTCCACATCCAGGATGAACCTGAATGAGAAACTCGATGTTCCACTCGCACCTCAATTCACCGGGGTCAGTATTTAGAAAATGTGCAACCGCATATAGCGATCGGATGGTGATGAGGGCGGTGGTCGTCCTAATTCTGAGCTGGGTCCAAACAATGTTGCCCGGAACATTACATCAGAATGAGAAAGCAAAGTTAAAATAAGAAGACAAAGTAGCCATATGATGATTCAGCATGCTGATGTTGACTATAGAATGCCAATATTTTTTTTATGAAAGCAGATATTGCAAATTATATTGCCACAGTAACGCGTTAGAGTTCGTATAAGGGAAGATAAGTGGTAGTATGACATTCAGTGTGTAATCGGAAATAAAGTGGTTGGTGAGCTGTGCCATTCTGAGTTCTGTTAAGTGAGATCAGTAGAGATTATCATGTAACCGAAACCATGATCAGTGACACTTGTATCGATCGCACATTCTTCTCTTCTGTGTTCAACAATATTACTTGCTCTCCGTAGGTGGACAAATGGAATGAAAGCGATTAGGAAAAAGGCTTGATTCGGCACGACGTTCGATAGTTGATCGAATCAAAGCAACTTTGAAACCATGTGAACTTCTGAATTTGAATAAATTCTCATTCAGTTCATTCCAGGGCACAATAACTCTGTAGGAAAATGAACCCCTGAAAGCCGTAGTGTAGTGTAGTATCGAGCAGCAACTGAGGCGAGCGCAGACCGACAGAGAAGCAACCGAGAAGGCGGCAATCAGTTCCCGTTAGGATGAGTCACTTGAGAATAGCTGCGCCTATAGCACCCTACCTCCCATGAAAATGTTACAGTGCTGCCCAACCGACCTTTCCTCACCCAAGGTTCGACTCTTCTAAGTCACAGAAAAATGAGTCTCTGATTTTTGGTGGCCTACGCGTAGCTCATTTATTTGTTTATTTATTTATTTGATATTACACTGGTGTTGAGGAGCTGCCACAAAAACCAACTACGTCGAACACATAAAAAGCCAAAATGATGCAGGCCAGGCTAATAGGGGGACAGAGAATCAATAACGAAAGTTACTTGTATAGTTCTTACAAGTAGGAAGTTTATCGATCTCCTGTGCACTTGCTGCATTTGCCTTTTACACCTCAATAAGCCATCATCGTTTACCCTTTGAGGCGAAATGCCATCCTAGTAATGAAGAGACGTCATTTCAGCATGTCTGTGCCGGATGTGGTTTGATGTCGACTGGCCTGTCGTCAAAAAATAAGCTACGTCTTGCTGCTTTTTATCTTTTTGCTTTCCCTTTTTTGAGAATCAATACTGTAAGTTGCGAGGGAAGGCCCAAAAAAAGACGCGACCACATTTATTTTGAAGTCTTTGTCGTCAGTTTCTCCAGAGTTCACTTTTTTCGCCAGAGCGACACTTGTCAACCAGAACCAGTGAAACAAGGAAGTGCTAAATGCACTCCACTCCCTCCCAGGCAGCCGAACTATGCCCCAAATCGCCGCACTCAAGGTGTGTAGAACGAACGCACGGCTTGTCAAAGGAAGTATGAATTGCAATTTCTTGTGAAACATCATACAAAATTCAGCATTTTTTTTCACCAAGACATAATGGAGCCAGGTTTATTGTCTCCGCATCTCACGCATTCCTTTGAGGTTCACGGGTGTAGTTGGAAAAGTGTGAGTTAAAGACAATTCCCGCGACCACACTTCATAGGTAATACAGTTCAAAAATAGAATTGCCCTGTGATTGTTGACTTATTGAAGAGAAGGAACCACGAAAAAGCGCCCGCAATAAGACCCTCTTTCAATTGATCATGATCACCGGACGAGCGTAAGGTGGTCAAGATCAATTGTGGATTGCAAAAGGCGGCGAGACACTGATAAGAGACGAGAGAGGCCAGAAAATGACGGGCGAGAGAGCGCAATGGCATGTCACAATGACACGGTCACCGGAGGCCGGCACAGGCCTGCCGGGCGCCAATGGGCCTAAAACATGAGCGCCGTGCGTTCTGCTTGCTGTTTTTCAACTTTTAAAAGCAGCATATCCTCTACTGTTGCCTGCTTGATCATCATGCACGTTTATGAGGTTCTAGCCTTAGTTTATCGCGGAACGTGCCTTTAAGTTTAGGGCGATGAAAATTACATTGCGAATGGTGGTACGTGAGCGGTAAACGCACAGGGACCAGACCATCATCCAATCTTCCGTTGTTCATTTTACAGGAGTCCGTCGTGATTTTGGACGTCACCCCAGATCCGATGCCAAAACCAGATCCAGAGGAATTCAAGAAAAAACACTACGCACATTTCGAAGAGATGATGACTAAAAAAGTTTGTTGGACTTTTTATCAATTTCAAAGAAATCACGATAGGGTGATCATGTCGCTACACAGGCGTACCCTGTGCACCGAGTACTAGTATCATACTCAGATGGCATAATTTAGCCAAAATCCTATTTGGAAGAGCATATTCCTGGTGCTGTCCTATATGACATCAACGTTGCGCACTTTCCGAGCAAGTGAGTTGTTAACACTATTATAAAATCCTAGTGTTAGAGACATCGTCGCGATGAACAACGTGCAGGAGTCCTTCCTTGAACCAGGTGGTGCGGTCCGCAATCGCAGAAGATGTTCCAGCTCAGAACTGCTTGATATCAGCAGCAGGGCTTTGTCACGCTTTATCGTCCCCGCCCAGTCGTTTATGATCTCCGCCAGTACCAAACCATTCCACCATCGCCATATGTATAACGGTGGGGTCCCTATCACTTGTGTAGCCTCTCGCCACACCTTTGTTTGTTTCCCTTCTTTACCCTTAGTTTCTCCCAGCCATATTTTCCAGTAGCGCTTGAAACTAACAGGTATCTTACTTAGAGCAAATTCGATGAGATCTGTTGTTTCTTCTTCACTACTATCCATTTACCAGGTGATCTAACGATTCTGAGCCCTACAGCCGTTTCACGGCGCTGTTTCAAAGAGCCCATACCTAGAGATAGCGCTATCTGTACAGAAGAACACTTATTCTACCATGAACTACAATGTATTTTCCTCCAATTCGTCTTCAGCAACCAAACTTTTTGAAACTTTTCAGGTACATTATTTTTGACCTCTATCCACCAGAAGAATTTGAGAAGTATATCCGACTGCTTGGTGTGAATAATAATGATCATGTAGTAGTGTATGGGAGAGGTAGCTTTGCCGGTATGATGTGGCCAGCCAGAGCGTGGTGGACATTCAAGGCAAGTACATAAGATATTGTGAAGTAAAATGCCCGTATTTAATCGCTGAGCTATGCTGTACAATCGTTCACACATCGCTGGTACACGATAGAAACCGTTGTCCCTGCCCGTCGCACAGGTGGGAGCCCGCCAAATATTGTG